AGAACTACATTCTGTCTGCATATCTGAGTTACCATGTGACTTCATGTTTCAACCCCTTCAACCTCCCCATATTTATAAATCACTAAAAATATCATCTTGTACAAAGTAAGAACTCAAAGAGTATGAACTATTTTTATTATCATTATTTTTAATAGGAGGGATGGAATAAAGGCCCAAGTCTCCCGATTTCAGGTGAAATGCCCCTTCCAGAATCCCTGAGGGCCTCCCATGTTAGCAATATTTTTATGTTAAGAATACAATGTCATGGGTAGCCTCCAGCATTACGAAAACTTCCACACTGGATTCCTGGTGTTGTAAGATCTGAGATGCTTCAGATCACCTGCTTGCAAACAAAGTACTGAAAAACAAAACAATTTCATTTCCCTGGAGTGACCTTTACATCCACGACTGCTGCCCCAACTATGCAACCCTGGCTGCTAAGCACCCTGATGTTCTCATTAAAGATGCGAGATTCGGCCTGTGAGCTGGAAACACTGGATGCCGGTCACGGATGACAGTCAGTGTTGGGAGGCTGAGTTTTTATGTGAATGTACTCCCATCAATGAAAAGACTTAACGAAGCCACACTTGAGCTTCATCCCACTAATGAATCAACTGAGAAATGAAGATTAGAAATACTTCATAACCATCTTTTAGTAACATCTTCAGAACTGACAATTGGGAAAAAATGCATTTTCTTAAACAACGACATCTTGGGGACAGCCATAGTAACCAAATCAAAGCCAGATTAACACATGGAGGGGAGAGAATAATAACAAATGGTTAAGTACCTAATTAAGCCTATTTTCTAGACATGAATCCCCAAGATACACTTGTTGTTCCTACTCACTAAATATTTTTAAAGGTTATTTGGTCCCTCAGGAAATCTGTCATATTAACAATTCACTGAAAGGCAAGGACAGACACCAATGCTTACAACGACTGATGTAACAGAATCATAGGGTAGCCAGGGTAGCACCTTCAGCCATGCCGCCTTAACAGGTAACACGCGAAATCAACTCCTTCTCATCCAACACACAGGGTGTTGGGTGTGTGATGGATCAGAGAGCTATTATCAGCAGCAGAAAATGGTGATTTTATTTATTGCTTTATCACAATGTAGTTGTTTATCTACTATGGGCCAGGGATTATTTTAGATCCTTAGGGCAGAAAGCAAGCACTGTCCTGCCTTTATGGAATTTACCATCTTGTGGAGGGGAAAACAACACACCAATGATTACATAATAAATAAGCTTAATCATTTAAATAGTTACACATTTTGTTCCAAGGCCTGTAATTGGTACTTAGTACATACTATCTCAATTAATCTTTCCACTGCAAATAAACATCAAATTGCCACTCAGATAAATGCTACAAGGGAGAGGAGCATGGTTTTGATAGCACACAATAGGAGGCTTTGATCAATTTGTAATATCAGAAAGTGACAAATGAGCAATGGAATCCTGGTAAAGATTTAACAACCAGCTCTCCAGGGAGGAAACTGAGATGTGTGATGTTTACCCATTTCTGTGGTATAAATGCCCCCACTATGTCTTATTTTAAGCTACCGATGTGATGTCACTGAAGGGGAATTGAGAATAGATGTGCACAGGCAGCCCTCCTTCCGTCTCATGAACAGATGCAACCTAGCTCATGCCTATCACTGCAATAATCTAAGATCTGCGCAGAGAAGACAGAGAGCAAGTTGAATGGGTCCACCCTCCCCCTTTGCCAGTGAGCACACGCATCATCAGTTCTCTGACTCAGCGTCATAGATGGAGCTGGGCATATCTGTAGAGTCACTATAAGGGATCCAGCCAGGCATAACTGCACACCTAGAGTCTACCTGTAAAATGAATAGATGGTTTGTCCATATAAATAAACTGCAAATTCCCAAACAATTACATATTATTATAGTTAATAAAATAATAATGCAATTACATATTATTATAGCTAATAAAATAATAATACACCGATAAGTTCATCGTAGCCTTTGTTTATAGAGTATTTTATCAACAAGGAAAGATAGCTTATCTAGTCCAGGAAATGAGACACTGACGCTGCATCTTGAAAATGAGTAAAAGTTTTCTCTGTCATGAAAGGGAAATAAGGACATTCCACAGGAGGATCCTACTTACAGGTGAATCAGGAATCTATATTTTGTTTCAAAAATTCATGCCCGAGAGCTCCAGCTTAAGGCCTTTAGTTTAGAGAACAACAGCAGAGAAAATCCTGCTTCCAAATGAAGGATTCGCAACAGACGGCTTTTGTTATGGCTTCAAGCTACATAATGCTTTATTTCCTAATTTTTAAAAGTTTAGAATTAGTTTTTCTTGACATATGAGATTTAAGTCCTCATGTAAGAGCAAGAAATAAATAAAGTCGAAGAGTGGAGTACATTCAAATGCCTGAGATCTTAATTGATTTCTGTATTTGATTTCTGCATAATGTTTAGCAAACCTAGACAAAGTCAAGCTTTGTTTAGACAGAATTCTTAAAGGACTCTGCTCATATGACTTTGTCCTACTCAGGTACTGTGGGTCACTTCTCTCCTTAAGCCCATATCTTTTAACTTAGAACATTATAAAAATGACAGGAGCTTTTTCTGAGAATGATTGAGTCCACAAACTGGAAGAAAATTTTATACAGTTTCCATTTCATAATACTAAAAATAGCTCCTGTCAGTTCAGATGTCCTTCAGTAGATGAACGGATAAATCCAGCAGTGGAATATTACTCAGTACTAAAAAGAAAAGACATGGAGGAAACTTAAATGTACATTACTAAGTGAAACAAGCCAATCTGAGAAATCTGCGTACTGTATGATTCCAACTCTATAACATTCTAGAAAAGGCAAAACTATGCAGACAAGCAAAAGATCAGTGGTTGTCCAAGGTGGCAGTGGGGAGGGCTGAAGAGGCAGAGCACAGAGGATGTACAGGGCAGTGAAAATATACCGTATATTATAAAGATGGAGATATGTCATTACACATTTGTCAAAATCCATTGAGTATATAAGACCAAAAATACACCCTTAGATAAACTATGGACTCTGGGTGATTATGATGTGTCAATGTAAGTTCATCCTTGGTTAAAAAAATGTACTACTCTGGTGATCATTTTGACAATGGGGGAGGCTGTGCATGTATAGGGCAGAGGGTAAGTAGAAAATCTTTGTACTTCCCTCTCAATTTTGTTGTAAACTTCAAACTTCTTTTAAAGGTACAGTCTTCAGGAAAAATTATCTCTTGAGCACTTACATGCCTTACTCCATTAAATCTGTATATCAGTTTTATGAAGTAACTGCTGTTGTGATTCCTATTTTATAGAAGAAGAATCTGAGGCTTCACTTGTTTAAAGCTTCAAAACTCAAGTGATGTGAGGTCAGATATTGACTATGTCACAGTTAGATATGTAGACAACATTCAAATAAAATTAGTTTTTAAGAGAATCCGGGAAATTTACAGAAGAGTTAGGAGAGCAATTTGTGCACAGAGTTCACAGCAAGGGAAAAAACTTTAAAAGAAGTCACCTAGTAAACCTAGTTCTTTGTCCATTTTGGTATTCAGTTTGTATTTTCTTGAGAAAGAACGTAAGATAAAACATCTGATCCTTAAGCATATTATACAGCGTGATGTAAAACACAGCGCTGCAGAATTCTGTCTCTGCCTGGAAGTATCTGAGGTCCCCGTATATGAAGGGATGTTTGGAGAAATCTCTGCTTTTGGTCTCAACTCTTACAAGAAGCTTTAGTTTATCAGAAATGTGCCTCTTGGAACCACAGGAAATCTTGAGACTTGTTGGTCAATGGTCTCTATACTGTGTCCGCAGAGCTCCAGGGACTCCATAGAAGAGACTTACTCATTCAACAAGCCTTTAATAAGCATCTACTATGTCAGACACCGTAAGAACTCAGTGAACAAAACAGACGTGATTCCCGACCCAACCTAGAACGAGAAGGGGTGGGTCCCCGGGGCTCCAGTTGTTAACTATCTGCTATAAGGTTTTCTTTAGGAGTTAATGGTTCACTGTAAGATTTCTTTTAAAGAAGGGGTCTTGGTAAACATGATCCAACACTACTTTAAAATAACTGGTTTATTCTAAACCCTTACTTTCAGATTAAAAACTTACAGCGCAAAGAGAGAAACCAGATCGCCTGAGGTTGCATCCAGCTAGAGGCAGGGCCAGGACTAAAACTCAGTGCTGCTGGTTCCCAAGTGGTTGTCTTTCTCACTCCCCCACTTTATTTCCTGCTGTCTTTTCCCTTGGCAGCGTGGCCCAGTGGAAACTCGCAGACTTGGAGTGAGGAGTCTGGAGTATGAATCCAGATGAGTGAATTACATCTTCCTGTCCCAGGGTTTCCTCATTCATAAGATGAGGATATATGTGGTTTGGTAAATCAAATCAGCCAAAGTATCTTGTACACAATCTTAAACTGACAAATATTATACAGCTGTTAATCATTACAGTCTGAGCCCCTGAGTCTTTTTACTGATATTCCTCAAAGCAAAATAATTGAAGAATGGAGTAATAAAAGCAAAATGAAAGGAAAATAACATGTGCCAATTGGTCAAATTGTTATAGTTAAGGCAAATAAATAAATAAATATAAAAAATAAAAATGTCTGGGTTGCATCCTGGCCTTGCTGCTTCCTGCGTGACATTGATTGAAAGGATCCTGCATGCATGCTGATGCTCGAGCTCTAGAGAGTCAGACAGACCCTAGACTGGTTCAGCTTCTCTGCTGCTGCATTGCTTCAGCTGGAAAACTGAAATGAAACAACAGAGCCTATTTCATTGGGTTGCTTTTTGAGAGGGTACCTTTAAAGCATTTAGTACAATGTCTGGAACACAGTAGGTGCTCAATGATGATCACAGTGTTATTTTTAACTCTAAAATATTAACAATAATTTCTACTTCATAGGATATTCATTAGAATTAAATGAACTAAGATTAACTGCATATCCAATAAGCAACTGATGCCTATAAGACACTGAAACTATGTTCTTTCCCTTCCTTTCTCCTGATATGTAAACCCAGCTGCAGCAGCTACACTTACTGGAGAACTGTAAGGGGCTTGCCATAAGTTCATTTTCTTCTAAGTCAGTGGCTCCAAATATTTAGGTTTTGCCATAATCTTCTTGGAATTTATGAAATAGAAAAAAGCAGTGTCCCTTGTCCTGCCTTCTGTGGAGAAGGAGCCGAGAAATCTGATATTTAGCAAATAATTCCAATACAAACAGTAAAAATGATGGCTGAACACTTCCAGAGCAGTATAAGCCCTTGTAACTCAAAGTGTGGTCCTTGATCCAACAGCAGCAACATCACCTGGGGATCTGCCAGAAACACAGACTCTTGGCCCCACTCCTGGCCTACTGACTCCATGTCACGTTTTAACAAGACCCCCAGGTGATTCTGTGCATGTCACAGTTGAGGTGTGCTGGACTAAGCACTGTCTCTAGGGAGTTAGCCACCGGATGGTCACTTGGCTCTCATTTGCTTCTTCTCCTCTAAGAACATATCTTCATTATATTTCACAGTAAGTGTTAGCTTTGTAAAAGACTGATAGGAAAAAATGGGCATAGTAAGACAGCTCAACACTTCTAATGAGTTTTCTCAGAGATTTTGACCATTATATTATTCAGTGTCTTTTATTTAAAATACTACATAAGTTACTTTTAAAAGAATATTGCTGTTAAAATATTGCTCTCCTGATGATTTTAATTTGTATTTAAGAAAATGGGAGGGACAAATGATTAGGAATTTTTTCACTGGCTGCTATCCCAAAATTAAATTTGATATTCAATTTCAGTAATTTTGTTAGCCTGTTTTGGGTATGTTAGTCCTCTTCCCATCAGCATACTTCCAACTTTTCTATTGCCCTTTCAAAGATTTTTTTTTAAACTTAGGTATAATTTATATACTTAAAGTGCCCAAGCCAATGCATTTTTCTATATGTATTCTCCCATATGACTAACACCCAGAACAAGATATAGAATATCATCAAGTCCCCATAAGCTTAACTTGGGCCACTTCCCAACCAATAGCTACCAGACTTCAGCCCATTATTCTGGCTTTTATCACGCAGATTACTTTTGGCCATTCTTGAACTTCATACAAATTGAATCATAGAATACACTGTCCTCTGTGTCTGGCTTCTCTTATTTAATATAACCTCTTTAAAACCCACCCACGTTGTTGAGTTTACCACTGTTTGTTCTTTTTATTGCTGTATCACATTCTCTTGTATAAATACATCATTTTTTACCCATATTTCCATTGATGAACATATGAGTTGTTTCAGAGTATTATAAATCTGACAAGAGCATTTATGTGTAATTGTTTCAGTGAATATGTACACTTACTACTACTGAGTACATACCTTGGAATGAATTGCCTTTTTAATAGTCTCCTGTGTATCTGAGTAAATTCTTCCTGGCTATAGGTATGTATAGGATGAGAAGAAAAGACAAAAAGGGACAAGAAGAAAGAAACATAAGAGGAAAAGGACTAAAAGCAATGTAACAGCATTTCAAAATTACGTGCTATGGTGTAGGGGGAGAGAGCTGGGTAAGCAATCTGGAACCCTGAGATTCTTCTACTTTAGGCAAATCACTTCTTTCTAAAGTTTAGTTTATTAGTTTAGTCCTGAAGATGGGTTGGTAGACTAGATGCCTTCAATGATCCTTTTCACCTTGATAATTTAGGAATTTCACAAGAATGTTTTTTTCCTTAATTAAGTAAATTACCTGGATGTTTGAAAAGAGGATACACTGAAGAATCCTTTGTGATTAACAGATCATAGAGGGAGGAGATTTCTAGAACTTTTCCTTCAAATGTTGAAGACTATTTTTCTTGCCAGTCCTATCTGTCTCTATTCCTTCCTGAATCCTTCTTCCAGAAAGGGATGTTGTTAAGTCAACCAATCAGAGCCCACATTAACTGGAGAGCAAGGCCATTGTGCCTTGTAGGTAGCCCTGTCTCTTTCTTATTCTGCCTCTTAGTGCTATAAACTCTCCCAGGCAGGGCCTGAGCTCTAGGGAGGCTGGTTTCCTTCTTAGCTTCCCTCTTCTCACCCCAACTGCTTGGTTGAGTGAATATATTGAACTTGGTGCCTAAGCGGGTACCTAAATGTCCACCTAAATACCTGTAGACAAGCTTTAGCCCATGAGTCCCAGTCTTCAAATATGAGGGGGACAAGACATCCCACTTCATCCCTACTCTATCACCTTCTACCTCAAAGTTATCAGAGGTCTGTGTATTAGTAGGTACTGAATTCTTGGCTGTTAACAAAGCATTTTTCTTCCAGTTGAGAGAGAATTTTTTTTTCCTTTTTTCCCCTTGTGTGTAGCATTCCCTTAGTAAAGAGTCCAAGAAAGGAAAAGGAAGAAGAGTGGCAGGATTACTCAGACTCCCTCAAGGCCTTCAGGCAGAAGATGTTGAGAGATCACAGAAATTCTATATCCAGGGCAGTCATAGGTTGTGCCAAGAAAAGGGAGTTGTTAAAACAAGGTGCCATGGGGAGAATCCTGGCATTAATCGTGGCTGCCAGGAAGCCGCACTCCATAAACATCCAAGCCACAAACCCCAGAGCTACAGATCACGAAGGTGGCTGGGGCTGGGATGCCAATGGCAATAAAGGTGCTAAGGAGAGGCAGGAGCTCTGAGAACCACATTACACTTCCAGACTCACCTACAGGAGGACCTGGCATGTCTGGTGTGCTGATCTGATCATGTGCCATATGTTTCACCTGAACTTTTCTCTCTGTATCACACATTTATCTGTTTCAGCAGCTTATATAATTATAAGGCTTTATATACCCTCTCCACATGGGAGTGGGGTTGGGTGGATGTTTGGAATGATTAAGTCACCTGGCCTAGCACTCACAGTGAGTGATGAAGTCAACTTTAGTATTTGTCTGACTGAAAAAACCACAGCACCTTTGTCATCACCAGCTTGCTCCATCTGTCACTTTACAAATGAAGACAGTAGCTTAGGATGCCAATGTGCGTTGTTGGAGCCAGGACAGGAATCTGGTACTCTTGCCTCACCCCTGGGTCAGCTCCAGGTCTACTGCTCTGTCTTGTTCATGCCAGAACAAAGCAAAGCCCCCTGTGGAGTTCAAGACAATTTCTGAAATGTCATGAAGGGATTGTTTTGCCATCTCCCTTTTAAAGACTCAGGTACTGGAGTCATCTTGCCTTGGTTTGAAGCCTAGCTCTGCCATTTGGAGTGTCACATTAGCAAGTTACTTAGTTTTCCTGTGCTTTAGGGTCCTCATCTATAAAACAGGGAAGATATCAATCCTTTCTATCCAGTGTTATGAAGACTAAATGAGATAATCCATGCAATAACTTTACCATTAAATTGGGCATGTAATTCACAACACCATCCACAGTAGCCATTATTATTTCTGCTCTATTCCTGACTCGTTATCATGCAAGGCAGTTGCACTGGAAGATCAGAGGCTTGGGAATGGGGATGGTGGTCATTTGTCCTATGAAATGCGACTATGCAGGTACACTTCCCTGGGGACTGGGATCAGACCCATGTCTTAGATCAGAGCAAACGTCAAGTCCATGGCCCATCATCGTAGTTATCCACAGGTTAATTCACTGAAATGTGGCAGACACTGAGCTGGGCTCCAAGCTCCAGAGATTAAAGAGAACAGAGTTCCTTCCTGACAGCTCAACTCAGGAAAAGCATAGCAATGAATGAAGACAGTGTCCTACTGTGTTGAGGAAGAGATGAGACCTAATCTGTCTGCTGATGTAGGGCCCTCAGTTAGTCAGCACAGGCCACCAGCAAGCCTCTTTGCTTTACAATCTGATAGATTTCCTTGGAGGAATAGGAGAGAATGCTCTAGGCCTGAATATCAAGACTGGGGATAAGACTGAGGAACAGGGCAAGGGTGACTTGTGCCTGAGAATGGTTCTCCTCTCTGGGCCTTTAATCTCTCATCTATAAGATGGGTATATTCAACTGTCAATGTTGCTATAAGAATTAAAGAGGAAATTTTTATGGCAAGTAGCAAGCACATACTAAATATTAATTTAATAATAATGGTATACTTCAGGTTTCAAAAAATGTTAAATTAAAGTGTTCTCTGAATCAGATCTAGGTTAATTTGTCCCAAGACCCTTGGACTCTCACTCCCAGGAATCTATCCTGTAGAACCAAAAGGAACAGTATGCAAGGGTGTTTATTGCAACATTGTCTCATGGGGGAAAAAAATTAGAAACAAAAGACATACTCATAGTCAGATAAGACTAAACAGATTTTAGTTCATCTGTAGTCTTCCTGGAATACTGAGCAGCCACTGAAATTAATTTGACTAATAAGAGTTAACTTGATGGGATTTATACTAACTACTGAAAAAGTAAGAAAAATAAGATGTAGAGAAATGTATGTAAGATATAATTGAGTTTTTATAAAGCAAACAATGAATTCCCAAATCCCTTTGTTTATGCATTTATAGTGAATTGATGTCTATATGTTTGTAAATTGTTACAGAAGCATGAAGAAACTGCATAAAAAGATGAATTTCTGGTTGTTAACAAGGGTTGAGGAGAGGGGAAGGAGCAAATGTGAGGCAAGAAAAACAGTAGACATAGGAAATAAAAATAGAAGAAAAGTTAGAAAGACACAATCAAATAACATTTGGTATAATCTCACTTGTGTAAAATACCAGTTTATTAAAAAATTAGAATAAAAAGATTATGTGTGTGTGTACGCACATACACAGATTTATAAGAATGTTCACCAATCAATTGACAAAATTTTATTGAGCACCTACTAAAGGCCAAATCTTGTTCTGAGGATATGGCAGTGAAAAAAAAAAAGGCACAAAAATTTCTGCCATTGTGGCTTGGACAGAGACAAAATAATGAAAGCACTCTATTATACTGTATACTTACAATAATTATATTATTGAAAGTTAGTAAGTGTTGTGTATAAAATTAAGTCTTAGAAAACAGGTACAGAATGTTATGGGTGCAGTTTTAAAATGGGTGGGTGAACAAGTGTTCACTGAAAAGGTGATATTTGAATAAAGACTTGAACGCGTGGAATAAAGGCGGAAGCAGAGAGGTCAGTGAGGCAACTAGAGCAATAATGCACGTGAGAGACAGTGGTGGCTTACACTGGGACAGAGATGATGCAGGAGGTTAGAAGTGGTTGGACTTTGAATATACTCTGAAAGACAGCCGGAAGGATTTGCTGAGGGACTTGATGTAGCATTAGAAAGACAGAGAGGACTCACATGCAAAATACAGGATTGTTGGGAGCTGAGACAGTGGAGTGATGGAATTTCTATTAACTAAGATGGGGCAGAGCACAAGTAGAGTCTGTTTTGGGGAGAACGTTAGGTTTTTCATGTTGGATTTGTTAAGTTTAAGTACCTATGACATAGGCCAAGAGTGAAGATGGGTAGGCAGTAGGTTGTTCAAGTCTAAAATTCAGACAAGCGTCCCATTTGACAGTATAAATTTAGAAGTCAACAACCTAAAGATTTGTAGTGACTTGGAACTGAATGATATCACCAAGGAAATAATAGGTGGGCTAGAGAAGCGATCCAAGGACCAAACCCTGGATGATAATAGCCATGATTTATGTAATATATTCATGATATATGCATGATACATCATGAAATTTTAAAAGCAAGGTTCAAAGTAACATGTATAGGATGACTATTTGGTGAAAAAGAAATCTAACTAAACCTTTACATTATTTTATATAATATGTATATAAGACAAGGGGAAAAATGGGGGGGTACACATAAGTTCATTAACATTGTCTACTTTAGAGACATGGAAATGGTTGTATCACTGAGGAAGGGATCATTAGCTATGCCTTTATACATTTTTTAAATTTACTTGTTGAACAGACAATTTTTATAATATATAAAACCTGAAATGAAAGAACAAAAGTTGTCTGCATCCCACCAAAATAGTAATTTCTGATTTCCCTCTGGGTGGGAGAAATAATCATGCGAATTCTTAGTAAAGCACAATATAAACATTGAGGCCAAATTGGAAAGACAGAAAGCCTCTTTCTTCTTTGCAGTTATGCAGCACATCAACCCAAGATTCCAAGGAAGGAAGCTGGCGTTGAAGATTTGTCTTGAGCAAGAATCCAGCTCCAGGGAATGCTTCAGCTAATCTTTGGCTGTGATTAACCGAGCCAGAGAAGAGCTGCAACTATTCTGAGAGCTCTGAGGTGACAACTGGGGAAAGCACATCCACTTAGGCAGGAAAGTTCAAATGGAAAACATAAGCAGCAGCAAGAAAAGAACCCCATAGGCTGGGTTGCAACAGGAGGGAGAGTCTATCTTTCTACTGGTTTCTGGGACAATTGCTGGTTTGAAAACAGATGTCACTTGTCTCATATATTGGATGAGACTACTGGTTCTGGACTCACATTGACTTTATTCCAGTTCTAGTTTCTTGCCAACTTGCCTAGGGCAAGTTATCATAGCTCTCTGCATCTCAGTCTCTCTCATGTAAAAATGGTGTGATGATGATGATGATGGTGATGATGATAGTAATAATAACAGAGGTTGGGGGGTTGGATTAAATAAGGTTATATCTAACCAATAAAGTCCCTAACTCAGTGCCCGGTCAGTACCTCAGCAATCACGTAATTAAAATTTGCTGTTATTACATTATTGTTATTAAAATTAGTAGCTTTTCAGTAAAATCTATTTGCTTAAGGCTATGGGTTGATTTGTGTTCATCAGAAAAATATGTTCATGTCCTCATGCCTGGTATCTGTGAATATGAATTCATCTGGAAACAGAAGCTTTGCAGATGTATGCAAGTTACTATGAGTTCATACTGGATGAGGGTGAGTCTCTAACCCACTGATACAACTGCAGAGGGAACACAGGGTTGCCAGCAGCCACCTGAGGCTAGGAGAAAGGCATGGAGCACACTTGCCTTCAGAGCCGCCAGAAGGAATTAACCATGTCAGCATTTTGATTTTAGATTTCTAGCATCCATAACTGTGAGACAATAAATTTATGTCATTTAAGCTATCAAAATTGTAGTCTTCCGTTGTGGCAGATGTAGGAAATTCATACCGTTAAAGATAGGAAAGAAATTGGTGAACTTTGCTAGCAGTTGCCCCAACACCACAAAAATCACTTTGGTCTGAGGATTCATTTAGAATTTGGACATGTTGATTACTGAACATAAAGTGGAATATTCCTTTATCCCTTTTATTTAGTGAAACTTCAGATAGTTTATGGACTTCTAATACATCAAAGAAGATGAGACAGCCACAGGCCTTCCTGGGAAACGCTACAGGCACACTGAATAAATGTCTATTGAACCAAATGGACTGAATTGAATTTCAACATAGAACAGGGTCTTGCTAGAGCCTTGAATCACCATTAAAACTAAAACTAATGGCCTGTTTTTTTCAAACTATATAGCCAAAATACTAATAGCTATCAACCATTATGCTTGCTAGGTGCTTTCCTTATTCAAAGCATTTTGCATTTATTTACCTATTTAACTCACTACAATCCTATGTAATAGAAAGAAAAAGCAGTTGACACAATATGTCTTTTACTTATAATAAAAAAGTATTATGTGAATGAACCTCGGAAAGTGCCCAACACATATCAATGCATACGACAGATCAGACTACCAGATATTCACATTCCTGTACTACAGTTCAGAGTGGTTGCTAGGAAATAGTTGCCAAGCCATTGGTTGTATGTCCCCAACCTCCTGGCATTACTCTATGTGGGACCCTGTTACTCATTTTTGGATAATATGAGCAGAAGTGCATTTTGTAAACTTCATACCAAGGAATTTAAATAGAAGATAAAAGTTCACCATATTCTCTCTCTCCCTTCTGCATGAAGCCTGGAATTCTAGTGATGAGTATGAGGGCTTTCCAAGCTTAAATATTCATTGGAGCCACAGCGCCCAGGAGGACTGCCCCACTGGGAATCCTGACATTGCTAAGCCACCCTGGACATCTTTGTTATAGCATTTAGCCCACTCCTTGCTTATCATTATCATCGCCATCATTAGAATTATCATCTTATTATTAACTTTTTACTTTTCAGAGAAAAGAATGGACACTTGAAACTCCACTGTTACAATGCAGTTATCCCAACTGAAGAAATTTTGCAGCCTGGTGACCCATGACAATGTCTCTAATGTCTGAAGTTTAGGTCAAGATAAAATCTTCCTTGATGCATTTGTTCATTTTCTTTCCGAGTCCCTTTCAAACAGCAAAGTGAAGAGCCTATTTCTCCTGAAGTGCTTGGGAATGACACCTCTGCTGAAGACTGCTGGCTCTCAGGCTGTGATTCTTGGCTGCAGATAGGGGTGGCGGCTAGACTTGGCTAATCGAGCTCACTTAGCCCTTATGTCTGGTGTCATGAGTAAACTGAGAACATGACCACAACACTGAGCAGCTAAGCAAATGACAGACTTGTTCCCCTCAGACAGCAATGTGAGTTTATAACTTTCCAGTGTTCTCTGGAAAATGAAAACAAGAGAAATGAGTCGTTACAGTATTAGGTACCAGCGGGAAGAACATCTTTGATAGTCGGTCTTCTCTCTCCTGATACTAACTGATTGACACTGGTAAGGGGACATTTCCTTAACGTTTCACTACTTCATTTTCTCCAGGGTAATATATTGGACATTATTAGATTGGGTTTTTTCCCCCTAAATCTATCCAATTGTTATTAATTCAAGGTCTGCATCCAAGTCAAGATGGGGTAAGCAAAGCACTTAGAACAATTCATTGAATAATGTGTTATAAGAACTTCAAAAAAAAACTTTCCTCTCCTTGTTACTCATCAGCCACTGTCACAGCTATTCAACTCTGCCACTATAGCATGACAGCAGTCATAGGCAATATGTAAATGACTGGGCATGGTTGTATGGCAATAAAACTTTATTTATAAAACAAACATTGAAACAGAATTTCAAACATAGGGAAATGCAAGTGCAACAAATTTAAGGCATTAATGTGAATGGCATGTTCAAAGGAATAAAAGATCAGCTGACCAGAGATTAATGAACAAGGAGGATACCAGTGTGATAAGAGGTCCAAGAGGCATCAGGGGCCAGGTCAGGCAGGGTGCCTTAGGCAACAGTTTAGCTTTAAGTCTATGTGTTTCTGATGGATAAGATGTCTAGTGAGGGAAAGAGAGATACAAAGTCAGATTACTAAATATTTTACTTGAGAAACAAAATTGCCCATAATGGGAGACTGGAAAAATGTGGGGAACAGAACTAAAAATTAACTTTTGGCCAACACATAATTTGCAAATCATATTTCCTACAAAAAAGCTGAAACAATAGTGATCCATTTTTTTCAGTCTTAAACTCTGATTCTCATAGTTCTCACAATTATATATCACTGTTTGGCATCCTGGAAGGAAGGTAGACTTCAGTGTAGACAGAATCGGTTGAAATGCTGACTCTCACACTGTCTACCTGTGTGGGAAAAGCTGTGTGGAAAAAGCCAAAGGAAGGCCATTCTCTCTGAGTCTCTGTTTTCTCATCTGGGAAGTAAGTTTATTACTAGCCACCTCCCAGAGTTGTTTTGAAAAAAAGTTCTTAATGAAGAATATGGAATAACAGATTTTCCATAAACATTGCTTTCCTTCCTTCTCATTTATGTATTCATCCTAAAATATTTATTGCATTTTGTGCCAAGTATGTGTCAGACACTGCTCCAAGCATAGGTATAGAGATGTGAGCAAGAATAATAAATCTCAGCCTTCAGGAAATACACGTGGATCCTTATTGGATTATATATAGATATGGATGTGGATATGCATATAAATACAGATCACTTATTCTCAACCAGAGACGACTTTGTCCCTAAGAAGACAGTTGACAATGTCCTCTTATATGTATTGCTGTCATACTGGGGGTAGATGCTACCGACACCTGGTGGGTAGAGGTTAGCGATTCTGCTGATTTTGCTACAAAGCACAGGACAGCCTCACCCACCACAAAGAATTATTCAGCCCAAAATGCCAATAACATGTTAAGAAACCTTGGTTTAGAGATGTGTGTGGTGTGTTAAAATAATTTTTAAAAATAACTATGAAGAGTACAGAAAGGAAAGTTAAAGAGTGCTGTATAGTTTTAGTTGAAGAAGGGAACCCTGAATAGAATAGATGCCTTGTCCTGGTAATTTCTGAAAGAAGAATTTCCCAAACAGAAAGTTCAGGACTTGTAACTGACCACCAGCATAACTTTTAAAGAACCTTGTCTCCAGCTGTAAATGTGAATTCAAAATCCATGCAGTTTCTTATTTTCTCATAGTATGACTTATGATGAGAAAGACAACTTGGGAATTTAAATAAACTTAGGACCAAATGTTGGATTTATAACTCTTTACATAATCTTAGAAATCTCAGTTCATGTAGCCCTGGTTTCCTTACCTGTAAAATAACAGGGTCAATAATAGAAAATAAGTGAAACAGAGTTGTTTTGAAAACTAAATGAATTAGCCCATCTAAAATGCCTATGTTGGTGTCTGGCACATAGTAGGAATTCAATAAACAGCCATCCTCCTCCTACCCAATTGTTTTGGAAATAGGAGTGGAGAAAAGGATGATCCAATGCTTCCTGTCTTTTTTGACCTCAGTTAATTACCACTAGTAAATCAGTGGCTAAAATTCTCAGACTCATCTTTTACTTCTCTCTGTCTTTGCCTCTCCTGTAGTATTCTCCCTCTGAATAAGTCCCAAAGTCATACAGATTCAGGCTTTTTGGTAGAAGTGGATGACTTTTGTATGTAAGAGTGTAGGAGCAAACCAAGGGAGCTGTCCAGCAGAAAGTTAGAAATTCAGGACCAGAAGATACAAGAGAAGTGAATTCTCTTATTGGCATTAGGAACGCCATCCATCTAGTAGCAACACTGCAAAGGAAGAGATTTTCCAGAGAGAGCAAAGATGATTGAAACATAGGGAAGAACTTCGTGTAAAGGAGAACACCTATCAAGTTGGCAGGGTGACACAGAGAAAGAAGTTTCACACAAGTCTGAAGAGTGAAGATAATCAGCAAAATCAGACGTGTTGAAGGAGAATGGGGACAGAATAAATCTGGCAATTGTAAAGGTACTGTCAACTCACTAACCAGGAGAGCTGTGTGAATGGAATTCAGGTCATGAGGGGATCCAGTGGAATATAATAACATTGGGACAGTTTCTGTACAGGACATTTTCAAGATGCTTGTAGCAGAAGTAAGTAGAGAGATGACATCTTAAAAAAGGAGGTGTGCGTGGTGACCTAGTGTAGAAGTAAAACGATTAACTTGGGCAAACAGTGGAAGAGGACCAAAGGAAGAGAAAGATATGTGAAGACAGCTACGAAATGCAGCAAGGCCAACTCTTACCATTTCTCACCAGTTTCCTCTAGTGAGGCAGGAGGTGATTCAGCAGTGAGTGACTGAGCAAAGGGTTTAAATGACAATGAAAAAGGTTTGCAATTGTTGCTTTAGGAATACATCAGATCCCTTTAAAAAGGAAGTCAAGGGCTGAGAAGCTGTGGGCAGATCCAAATTGCGGTTAAATGGAGTCAACTTGAAATAGACTCAGTCATCACACTTATGTGGCTTTCTTCAGGAAACGTGGCTGGCAAGGAGCAGAACAAAAGCAACAGACTGGACAGTGGATGACCTGGGTCAGCATGTTGCGAGGATGAGAATGCAGAAGGTTAAAGTTGGAAGAAAAATCCTCAGAATGGCAGCAGGGCAGATCTATGCATTGGTGTTCAGGTTATCTGGGGAAATATTGTGGAAAAAAAGGCATAAAGGAAGAAGTTATTCTTTCAGTCAGTTACTCATCAGATATGTACATCTATCACATACAGCTGTAAGTGAAACTTTGGGGAAACAATTACGAGCAAAATATAACCTTGACCTTTAAGGATTTCACCATCCAGTGGGTAAAAGGATTAGTCATTACCTCGACTGCTCAGAGAGCATCCGATTCCAAGGGAAATAAGCCACTGAAATGGCCTTAAGTTCAGTGGGAAATTTATTATAAAGAACTAGGGTATATTTCGTAGAACAAAAAGGCAGGAAGTATAATTGTTCTTCAGTGAGGACTAGAAGCAGAAATAGACATGCTCCAAGGAAAAGGAATAAGAAAGTTTACCATGAATGAAGTAGGACGCTGAGAAATAAATGTAGGAAACAGAGAGAGAGAGAGAGAGAGAGAGAAAGCTAAAAACAAAAATCCAAAGGGGAAGAAGGGAAATATTTACTGGATCTCATACAGAAATGTACTAATTTCCTCAACCACCCTATGATTTAAATATTCATGTTTCCAATTAAACATAAACAAAGTAAAGTTCAGGTTAGCAAATAATGTATACAAATTCACTTGACTAGAATCCACACTTTTTCTTCAAAGGTTAATTAGATACAGATACTACCTTCTAGAAGCTTTCTCTCTATGAAGGGAAAATAATATGTAAACATTAGTGATCATGACATCATATGGGATCATCTCACCACTGAGCAGGAGAAAGCCAATAATTGGGCTTAAATTTCTAATGATTGGATAGATAGGCTTCAAAATATTGATTTCACCTTATCATTAAATGACTGAAGGAAATCTTGGGTATGAAACACACAGATGAGTATTCATTTTACTTTTTTGGCTACCATGCAACACAAAATTTATTAACATTTTGATAGGTTCAGCTATCATAAATTATAGAAAGGGGAGTAAGAAAGAAAGCACACATTCATTTGATGAGCCCAAGTGAGTTGCTACCAGGCTGGAGAAATGGCAAACTATCAGGACTGGGACCCTATAGGTAATGAATAGAGTAGAATTAGGGTGGAGAGTTCTATGTCTGGGATATGCAAATGAGGACTACAGGGGCTGCTTAAGACTGCACCTATTGGTTTCTCAGGTGGAGTTATGCCAAAGCAACATGAATCATGATAAAGAACAGGTATGCTAAGCTGTGGGCAGAGCTCACAGTTGAGGTTAGAGAAGAATAGTCTTGCCATGGTTATCCCCATGCGGCCTTCTCTAGTAATAGTGGCTGGCAAGGAGCAAAGCAGAAGGCAAAAGACTTGACCATAGATGATGCTGGGCAAGATGTCGGGAAGGTGGCTTGAAGAATCCAACTGAGTTTTTGTAGCTACACATGGCTCCACAGATAGATGGTGAGAACTTTTGATCAAACATTTTTATTTCTCTCCATTCTCCCCAACCTATATCCATAGACACACACAAACACACACACACACACATATACTTAAATAGGAATTTGGAGAAACACAGAATAACAGAATACACTGGAGATAAAAATTCTCTTGATAGGCATTGATTGTTCCTGAGACAATTCCTTGAGGCTAACAATGATAGCTACCATTATCAGTCAGTACTGATAATGAACCAGGTTTTTCACTCACTTAACATTCAAAACATCTCTTTGAGGTGAGCATTTATTATGCTCATTTTACAGATGAGGAAGCTTCAGGTAGAAGAGATG